TAGGAGAGTAAGTGTTCTTCCTCATCTTATTTTAGTCGAGTTGATTAAGTGAGAGCCATTGTTGCAGTTGTTCATTATTTATTTTTTTTTGTTTCTTTTTTGTCTTCCTTTTCTCCGTTTTTCTTTTAAATCATCCTCTTCCACCTTCTTCGCTGTTCTGATTCCTTATCCTTCTCCCCTTCTTCGCCGCCTCCCCCCCTCTCTATCTATCTATCTATCTATCTATACCTCCTCCCTCCCTCCCTCCCTCCTTCCTTTCTCTACCATAACCCTCTCCTTTCCCCTCCCCTCCTCCCTTCCCCCTCCCTCTCTCCTCTTTCCCTCCCACCCCTCCCCACTCCTTCCCACTCCCACCTTTCCTCCTCTCCCTTCCCTTTCCCCTCTCTCCCCCTCTCCCTCCCCCTCTCCCTGCCCCTTCCCCTCTCCCTCTCCCTCCCCCTTCCCCTCTCCCTGCCCCTTCCCCTTCCCCTCTCCCTTTCCCTCCCCCTCCCCCTCTCCCTCCCCCTTCCCCTCTCCCTGCCTCTTCTCCTCTCCCTGCCTCTTCCCCTCTCCCTCCCCCTCTCCCTCTCCCTCCCCCTCCCCCTTCCCCTCCCTCCCCACCAGGGCCCCCGGCGCTTCGAAGACCCTCCCCCGCATCCCCGCCCAGACCATCAGCGCCGAGGCAGCTGGGCGTGTCCAGGAGCTGATGGGCGGTCCGGAGGTGCCCGAGGGGTGGCAGGGCGGCCTGGACTCCTTCTATCGCGTGGGCGGGGCCTGGATCGCCGGCACGGGCGTCGCCAACGTGACTCTCGCCGTCAGCAACATCGTGTACCAGGAGCCGGTGACGAACGTGCACGCCACGCTGCCCGCCGCCGATAACACGAAGTGAGTGGGAAGGGGGGATGGGGGGGGGAGGAATGAGGGAGGGGGAGGGGAAAGAATTAGGGAGGGAGAAGGGAAGAGGGAATTAGGGAGGGAGAAGGGAAGAGGGAATTAGGGAGGGGAGGGGAAGGAGATTAGGGAATGGGGAGGGGAAGGGGGAATTGGGGATGGGGGAGGGGGAGGAATGAGGGAGGGGAAGGGGGAAGGGAAGAAGAAATTAGGGAGGGGGAGGGGAAGGAAAGCAGGAAAGGGGCGAATAGGATAAAGGGGAAAGGGGGGAAAGTATAGAATTGGGAATAGGAAAGTAGGGAAAATGAAAAGGGAATGGAGGAAGGGGGGATTAAAAGTGTGAAAGAGGAAAGAGGGAAAATAAAAATACAAATATGAGGGGAAATATAAAATACGAAAACATGAATAGGGGATAAAGGGAAATGATGCAAGAATGAATGGAGAATGAAGGAAAGTGATGAAAATGGGAATAGAAAAATGGAGGGACGAAGAGGGAATAGAATATTAAAGAATAAATGGGGAAAATGTAATGACTATGAGAAAATGACATTTGACAGGAATTGTCAAGAGGGAATTGTCACTGAGAAAGAGAAAATATAGAATAGGAAGTGAAGTAAATAGATAAATAGACAGAATAGGGGAAAAGGCGGAAATATAAGAGTGGGTTTATCACATTTAGAAAATAGGAAATGGAGATTAGAAAAATAGAGACAAGAAAAGACTTGAGGGAAATATAATTCGATAAAGGTCAAAGAATGAATATGAAAGTAGAACAAAAATAGATAAATAACGCTAGAATATAAAGAATAGAATGAATGACTCAGTAAGGTATAGTTTCATGTCCATATCGCTTTGACTTCTTGAATGATTATACAACTTCAATTATTTCATCATTTTTACAATTCTTTTTTTGATTATACAATTACAGTTATTTCATCATTTTTTACAATTCCTTTTTTCGAGGTTTGTGATGCTAGGCTGCCACTACGGCTCGCTCTACACCGAACCTGCTGCTGGCATGGCGGGGCTGCTGGCAATTAGCGAGGCCGTTGCCAAAGCCTTTCCCTCGGGCACTCAGCGTAAGGTCATCTTCTCCGCCTGGGCCGCCGGCGAGTACGGCATGATCGGTTCGACGGAGTTTGCCCAGGTAAAGGAGGGTTTCCCGTTTTCTGTGGAGGGTTTGGGAGCGTTTTAGAGAAAGTGGGAAATGGGAAATTGAGGGATGACTCTGGTATATGTGGTCTTTGTCGTTTTTTTTTTTTGTCTCTTTAAAGTGGGATTTGATGGTGTTTTTTTGAGAAGTAAAGATGGATCGATGACTTGTTTTAACGTATGGATTAAGTTTTTTTTTTTTTACTTGGATTGTTTAGATATTTTAATGATTTGTTATGTTTCTGTTGAGTTTTTGTTTGCATTAACGAGAAAACAGTTAAAATAATAGTTGAATACTGTTTATGTTAGCTAGAACAGAATAAAGTAAAGTGCAGAACGAAATTTATTGAAGGAAAACTGCGAATGTTTTCTTTCTCATCGTCTTCTTCTCCTTCTCAATATTTATCGATATATCTTCCTTCCTTCCCCCTTTGTGAACCCTCCTTCTCTCCTCTCATTCCCTACATTCGTTCCCCACATTCCTCAACCCACTTCCCCTCCCCTTCCCCTTACCCCTTTCCCCTTCCCTCTTCCTCTTCCCCTTCCCCTTCCCCCTCCCCCTTCCCCTTCCCTTTCCCCTTTTCCTTCTCCTTCCCCTTCCTCTTTCCCATTCCCCTTTTCCTTCTTCTCCTTCACCTTCCTCTTCCTCTTCCCCTTCCTTCTTCTCCCTTCCCCTTCCCTTTCCCCTTTTCCTTCCCCTTCCCCTTCCCCTTCCCCTTCCCCTTTCCCCTTTCCCCTTTCCCTCACTCATTTCCCCAACCCTGTCCCACCCTCATTCACTACACCCTTCCCCAACCTTGTTCCCCACCCCTTCCCCACACTCCCAACCTTTCTCACTCCATTCCCCACAACACCTTACCGACTCCCTACCCCATCCCTTTCCCCATCCCTCACCCATCTAACCCTTCCCCACACTTCCCTACCCCTTCCCACACCTCCCCACCCTCATTCACTACACTCTTCCCCACTCCCTTCCCCCACACCTCCCCACCCCCTTCCCCCACACCTCCTCACCCCTTTCCCCACACCTCCCCACCCCCTTTCCCACGCCTCCCCACCCTCTCTCCCACACCTCCCCCTCTTCCACACCTCCCCCTCTCCCACACCTCCCCACCCCCCTTCCCCCACACCTCCCCCTCTCCCACACCTCCCCACCCCCTTCCCCACGCCTCCCCACCCCCTTCCCCCACACCTCCTCACCCCTTCCCCCACACCTCATTCACCCCCTTTCTCACACCTCCCCACCCCCTTCCCCCACACCTCCCTCACCCATCTAACCCCCCACCCTTCCCCCCACAGCTCTACTCTCCGTGGGTGGACTCCTCCATGCTGGCCTACCTCAGCCTGGACGAGATGCTGCAGGGCACGGGCAGCCTGCGCGTCTCGGCCTCCCCGCTGCTGCACAAGACCCTTCGGGAGGCGGCGAAGAGGGTGGCGTGGCCGGTCGGGGAAGCCATCAGCGTGCGGGACGGGTGGCGCCTGCAGGGACCCGTTAACAATGCCGGTAGGGAGGGGGATGGGATGGGGATGGAGGGAGGGAGGGGGGAAGGGAAGGGAAGGGGGAAAGAGGATCGGGGGGGAAGATTGTGAGGTGTTTTTTTTTTTTTTTTTTTTTGAGGGTGTTTGTTTGTTTGTTTGTTTGTGTGATTTGGTTTGTATGGTTATTTGTGTGATTTGGTTTGTATGGTTTGTCTGGTTTGTTTGTTTGTGATTGGTTTGTTTGTTTTTTTATGTGATTCGTTTTATTGTAATGTTTTTTTATGTGATTTGTTTGTTTATTGTGTTTTGGTTTGTTTGTTTGTAATGTGATTGGTTTGTTTTGTGAATTGCATGTTTCTTCCTTGACTGGTTTGTTTACAGTAAGAAGGTAAGTATATGTGCTTTTGTTTTATAATGTATCCATTTGTTATGCATTATATATTGGTTTATTTGTGCGTATTATTTCAGTATTGCTTTTGTCTGTTTCATCATGATTCGTCTATTTTTATTGGTTTAGATTCAAGTATTGTATGACGGACTCAGTTGGAAGAAACTATAGTACGTAGAAGGAATCATTAACATTGTATTTGATATCACGTGCCCTTTTTGTGTCTTTCAATCTATCCTTGTTCTTCATCTTCTAATCTAACTCCTTCTGTATCTCTTTCTTCTCCTCCTCCTCCTCGTGTACCTTCTTTTTCTCTTCCTCCTCCTCCTCCACTTCTGCCTCCTCCTCCTCTTCCTCCTCTTCCTTCTCCTCCTCCTCCTCCTCCTTCTCCTCCTCCTCCTACTCTTCCCCCTCCTCCTCCACCTCCTCCACCTCCTCCTCCTCCTCTTCCCCCTCTTCTCCCTCCTCCTCCTCCTCCTCCTCTTATTCTTCCTCCCTTTCTCAATCCATTCCTATTCCCATTCCCGATCTGACCCCCTCCCCATTCCCATTCCCATTCCCGGTCTGACTCCCATTCCTTATCTGACCCCCATTCCCATTCCCAATCTGTCCCCCTCCCATTCCCAATCTGCCCCCTCCCATTCCCATTCCCAATCTGACCCCCCCCTCCCATTCTCATTCCCAATCTGGTCCCCTCCCATTCCCATTCCCGATCTGACCCCCCTTCCCGCCGCCCACAGACGTTCCCTTCGGCACCCTGGCGTCGGGAAGCAGCTACGTGAGCTTCGCGGCCCAACACGGCGTGCCTTCCGCCCACTTCGTCGTCGTGGGCAAGGAACAGGTAAGTAGGGGGGGTGGGGGCTGGTTTAATAGGGGGTGGGGTGGGGGGTTGAAAGAGGAATGGATTCGTTTTGTGTGTGTGTGTGTGCGTGTGTGTGTGTGTGAGTGTGTGTGTGTGTGTGTGTGTGTGTGTGTGTGTGTGTGTGTGTGTGTGTGTGTGGGTGGGTGGGTGGGTGTATGTGTGTGTGAGTGTGCGTGTGTGTGTGTGTGTGTGGGTGGGTGGGTGTATGTGTGTGTGTGGGTGGGTGTGTGTGGGTGTGAATATCTATAGTCTTTGTATATATATATTTGAAGGTCATATATATAACGTTTCTAAGGAATGGGTAAGCAGGGGGAGGCCTGGTTTAATGGGGATGGGGGGGGGGGGAGTTTTGTGTGTGTGAATATCTGTATTCGTTGTATATATGTATAAATGCATACATGGATTCGTTTTATGTGTGTGTTTATGCATGTATGTGTGTGAACATCTGTATTCGTTGTATGTATGTTATGTTTGTATGTATAAACATACTTGGATTAGTTTTGCGTGTGTGTGTTTATACATGTATGTGTGTGAGCATCTATATTCATTGTGTGTGTATGTGTGTGTGTGTATGCATGTATGTGTGTGAATATCTGTATTCGTTGTATGTATGTATACATGCATACATGGAGTTGTTTTGTGTGTGTGTGTGTGTGTGTGTGTGTGTGTGTGTGTGTGTGTGTGTGTGTGTGTGTGTGCATGTATGTATGTGTGTGTGTGCAAGTATGTGTGTGTGCTTGTGTGTGAACATCTGTATTCTTTGTATGTATGTATGTATGTATGTATGTATAAATGCATACATGTCCACCGATAAATAAGGAAAAATAAATGGATAAGAATACACATGAATGATCGCGTGTCCCCAAATCCTGTCGTTCGCGTGAAAGGAAATGGGATTTAAAAATGGCCGATCACGTGACCTCGAGCTTATATATGGCTGGCCTAAGTAAACGTGACCTTTCGGCTTTTCGCTTATCGGTCTCAGTCTTTTTTATTATTATTATCATCTGGTCTTTTTTTCTTTTTCTTTCGGTTTATGCTCGTTTCTTCTTTCTCTTTTATTTTCGTTTTCTTTACCCCTTGTTTTTTTGTTCTTTTTCTTTCTCATGTTCTTACTCATCGTTTCTTTTTCGTGTTCTTGTTTTCTCTCTTATTTTCTTTGCTTTCTCTTTCTTTCTTTCTATTTCGGTTCGTCCAGCTCTCATTCCTTTTCTTTCTGTTGTGAGAGAGAGAGAGAGAAGGGGAGAGAAAGAGAGAGAGAGAGAAGGGGAGAGAAAGAGAGAAAGAGAGAGAGAGAGAGTGTGAAGGGGAGAGAGAGAGAGAGTGAGAAGGGGAGAGAGAGAGAGAGTGAGAAGGGGAGAGAGAGAGAGAGTGAGAAGGGGAGAGAGAGAGAGTGAGAAGGGGAGAGAGAGAGAGTGAGAAGGGGAGAGAGAGAGAGAGAGAGAGAGAGAGAGAGAGAGAGAGAGAGAGAGAGAGAGAGAGAGAGAGAGAGAGAGAGAGAGAAGGGGAGAGAGAGAGAGTGAGAAGGGGAGAGAGAGAGAGAAGAGTGAGAAGGGGAGAGAGAGAGAGAGAGAGTGAGAAGGGGAGAGAGAGAGAGAGAGAGTGAGAAGAGTAGAGAGAGAGAGAGAGAGAGTGAGAAGGGGAGAGAGGGAGAGTGAGAAGGGGAGAGAGAGAGAGTGAGAAGGGAGAGAGAAAAGGAGAGAGAGAGAAGGAGAGAGAGAGAAGGAGAGAGAGAGAAGGAGAGAGAGAGAGAGAGAGAGAGAGAGAGAGAGAGAGAGAGAGAGAGAGAGAGAGATGAGAGAGAGAGAGAGGGGGGGGGGAGATAGAGAGAGTGAGAGAGGGAGATAGAGAGAGAGTGAGAAGGGGAGAGAGAGAGAGAAAGAAGGGGAGAGAGAGAGGAAAGAGTGAGAAGGAGAGAGAGGGAGAGAGTGAGAAGGGGAGAGAGAGAGAGAGAGTGAGAAGGGGAGAGAGGGAGAGAGTGAGAAGGGGAGAGAGAGAGAGAGTGAGAAGGGGAGAGAGAGAGAGAGAGTGGAGAAGGAGAGAGAAGAGAGAGAGAGAGAGAGAGAGAGAGAGAGGAGAGAGAGGAGAGAGAGAGAGAGAGAGAGAGAGAGAGAGAGGAGAGAGAGAAGAGAAAGAGAGAGAGAGAGAGAGAAAGTGAGTGAGTGAGTTCAAATTCAAAACACTTTATTCCATTAATTATAATGGGTATTCTATTTACATATATGATGTTTACATTATGTAATAAGATGTTATATACATAGATATTATACAAAACTTGTTTAACAAGATTAGAACATTAAAATCACAGATGACTGAAATTTCGTGCTTGGCTTGATGTTCAAACGCCTGATGTCATTGATATTTCAGTAGATGTTCTTTCAATTTTGTTTTAAATGTCTTTTGGTTGCAGATAATTCTAATATTTTTGTTGGTTCCAGATCACCAGTCCTCGGATTTGCATATTTCTTGCACCGGTTTCTGTATTCGATCTTTTGATATATAAGGAGTTATTTTGCCTAGTATGGACACCTGTTATGTTACCTGTTATTTGTATGGGTAATAGCCAATTTGGGTAAATTCCTTGTATGATTTTATGGATTAGAATACATGTGTCTTAGTTGTATTTTTGTTGTACTTTTTAGCCAGTTTTAGTTTGTTTATATTGGTGTGATGTGGTCATATTTATTTACATTACCCAGTGCTATTCTTGTCGCGAAGTTCTGTAATTTTTGTGTCCTTTGTATTTGTGTTTTGTTTGTGGAGCCCCAGATCTATTAGACAGTAATTAATGTGGTAGTATCTGTATAACAGCAATTCTTGTTTCTGTGGGTATTTTTGATGTGATTTAAGTATATCAGTGTGCCCATTAATTTTCTGTAGATGTGATCAATGTGTGTCTCGAATGTCAAGTATCTGTCTACGTGTAACCCTAGATTTTTTACTGTTGTGTTGGGTTTGATGGAGCAACCTTGGAAATCTATAACTGTATGTGTGGGTATTTTTTGCTCTGTTCTGATGGCTGCCTCTGAAAATACGTTGTGTTTTTTGTGAATTTAGTTTCACGCTGACACTGTCAAAGGCCCTCGATAAATCACACAGAGTGAACAGATTGATGTGATGTTTGTCTTTATTATGAATTTCATTTGTGACTTTTAATAATGCTGTTTCGTGTTGCGTGTCAGATGTGAGGTTATTCGCTTCCAAAAATGCTGTTAATTGGTTTGCAACTATTTTCTCGAGAACTTTAGATATTACTAGTAGTATAGTGATGGTGATAATTATTATTTTCGTCTCTGACAACCGATTTGAAAATATGAGTTTATAAAAGAGAGGAGTGAGAGAGAGAGAGAGAAAAAAGAAAGAAAAAGAAAGAAAGAGAGAGAGAGAGAGAGCGAAACAAAGGCGAGTGAAAGAGAGAGAAAATTAATGTTTGTTGATAGAAAATAGACAAAATGAATTATTGTATTCGGTAAATCCATATTTTCATACGAGCACCACTATCACCAACCTATACCAACACCACCAATCACACCACCATCATCATCACCACCATCTCATCACCACCATCATCATCACCACCACCATCATCACCATCCTCTCACATGAACGTGCTTACAATACTGTCACCAACACTATCATCACCACCAACACTAACCATCCTCATCAACCCCAGTCAACACCGCTTAAATTATCGCCACCGACACCACTACTAAACAATGTCACCACCACATTCAAACCACCACCATAATACTCAATGAATAATTTATGATGAATATAATACCCCCCCCCTTCCCCCCCACACCACAGAGAAGTACATACGACCTCCGCACACACGCAGAAGAACGTGCCGAGCCGTACACGAGACTCACTGGATCCCGAGTACTAAGTGGACGCACATTTAGGTGAGTCAGGAGGCCGGTTGATCAGAGCGGGAGGCGGTGAGTCTTTTTTTTTCTTTCTTCTTTTTCTCTTTTCTTTTCTATTTCCGTTTTTTTTTCTGGGAGGGGGGAGGGTCTTTTTTTCTTTTTCTTTCGGTTTATGCGTTTCTTCTTTCCTCTTTTATGTTCGTTTTCTTTACCCCTTGTTTTTTTTTGTTCTTTTTCATTCTATGTTCTTATCATCGTTTCTTTTTTCGTGTTCGTTTCTTCTTAATTTCTTTGCTTTCTCTTTTCTTTCTTTCTATTTCGGTTCGTCCAGCTCACTTCCTTTTCTTTTGTTGTGAGAGAGAGGAGAGAAGGGGAGAGAAATAGCGGGAGAGTCTGAAGGGACGAAAAGAGTGAATGCGAGAGAGAGTGAGTGTGAAGGGGAGAGAGCGAGAGTGTGAGACGGGGAGAGAGAGGAGAGTGAAGAAGGGAGAAGTAGGAGCGTGAGAAGGGGAGAGAGATGAAGTGAGAAGGGGAGAGAGAGAGAGTGAGAAGGGGAGAGAAGAGAGAGAGAGAGAGGAGAGAGAGAGAGAGAGGAGGAGAGAGAAGAGAGAGCGAGAGAGAGAGAGAGCGAAGGGGAGAGAGAGAGAGTGAGAAGGGGCTCGAGAGAGAGAAGAGTGAGAAGGGGAGAGAGAGAGAGAGAGTGAGAAGGGGAGAGAGAGAGAGGAGAGTGAGAAAAGTAGATAGAGAGAGAGAGAGAGAGGTGAGAAGGGGAGATCTGAGCACTTGATAATGGGATGATAGAGATAGTGAACGAAGTGTGATGCGAAAAGTATATAGAGATAATGATAGAGATAGTAAAGTAGAGAGAGCGAAGTCTATATAGAGATTTCGATATATATATCAGATGATATATAGAGATATCGAGAGAGAGAGAGAGTGATAGAGATTATGAGAGAGAGACTTGGTCTCATAGATAGGGAGAGAGGGAATAGAGAGAGATTGCTAAGTGGGATAGAGATTGTAGCAAGACTGGAGCATAGAGAGAAAGAGTGAGAAGGAGAGAGAGGGAGAGAGTGAGAAGGGGAGAGAGAGAGAGAGAGTGAGAAGGGGAGAGAGAGAGAGAGTGAGAAGGGGAGAGAGAGAGAGAGTGAGAAGGGGAGAGAGAGAGAGAGAGTGAGAAGGGGAGAGAGAGAGAGAGTGAGAAGGGGAGAGAGAGAGAGAGAGTGAGAAGGGGAGAGAGAGAGAGAGAGAGAGAAGGAGAGAGTGAGAAGGAGAGAGAGAGAGAGAGAGAGAGAGAGAGAGAGAGAGAGAGAGAGAGAGAGAGAGAGAGAGAGAGAGAGAGAGAGAGAGAGAGAGAGAGAGAGAAAGAGAGAGAGAGAGAGAGAAAGTGAGTGAGTGAGTTCAAATTCAAAACACTTTATTCCATTAATTATAATGGGTATTCTATTTACATATATGATGTTTACATTATGTAATAAGATGTTATATACATAGATATTATACAAAACTTGTTTAACAAGATTAGACCATTAAAATCACAGATGACTCAAATTTCGTGCTTGGCTTGATGTTCAAACGCCTAATGTCATTAATATTTCAGTAGATGTTCTTTCAATTTTGTTTTAAATGTCTTTTGGTTGGAGATAATTCTAATATTTTCTGGTAGTTGGTTCCAGATCACCAGTCCTCGGATTTGCATATTTCTTGCACCGGTTTCTGTATTCGATCTTTTGATATATAAGGAGTTATTTTGCCTAGTATGGACACCTGTTATGTTACCTGTTGTTTGTATAGGTGATAGCCAATTTGGGTAAATTCCTTGTATGATTTTATGGATTAGAATACATGTGGCTTTGTTGTATTTTTGTTGTATTTTTAGCCGTTTTAGTTTGTTTATATATGGTGTGATGTGGTCATATTTATTTACATTACCCAGTGCTATTCTTGTCGCGAAGTTCTGTAATTTTTGTGTCCTTTGTATTTGTGTTTTGTTTGTGGAGCCCCAGATTATTAGACAGTAATTAATGTGGTAGTATCTGTATAACAGCAATTCTTGTTTCTGTGGGTATTTTTGATGTGATTTAAGTATATCAGTGTGCCCATTAATTTTCTGTAGATGTGATCAATGTGTGTCTCGAATGTCAAGTATCTGTCTACGTGTAACCCTAGATTTTTTACTGTTGTGTTGGGTTTGATGGAGCAACCTTGGAAATCTATAACTGTATGTGTGGGTATTTTTTGCTATGTTCTGACGGCTGGCTCTGAAAATACGTTGTGTTTTTTGTGAATTTAGTTTCACGCTGACACTGTCAAAGGCCCTCGATTATTCACACAGAGTGAACAGATTGATCTGATGTTTGTCTATATTATGAATTCCATTTGTGACTTTTAATAATGTTGTTTCGTGTTGCGTGTCAGATATGAGGTCATTCGCTTCCAAAAATGTTAATTGGTTTGCAACTATTTTCTCGAGAACTTTAGATATTACTAGTAGTATAGTGATGGGTTGATAATTATTATTTTCGTCTCTGTCACCGGATTTGAAAATAGGTGTTATAAAAGAGAGAGTGAGAGAGAGAGAGAGAAAGAAAGAAAGAAAGAAAGAAAGAAAGAGAGAGAGAGAGAGAGGCGAAACAAAGGCGAGTGAAAGAGAGAGAAAATTAATGTTTGTTGTATAGTAAATAGACAAAATGAATTATTGTTTTCGGTAAATCCCATATTTTCATTACGAGCACCACTATCACCACCACCAACACCACCAATCATCACCACCATCATCATCACCACCATCATCATCACCACCATCATCATCACCACCACCATCATCACCATCCTCTAACATGAACGTGCTTTCAATACTGTCACCACCACTATCATCACCACCAACACTACCATCATCATCACCACAGTCAACACCGCCATCGCCACCTACACCACTACTAACATTGTCACCACCACATTCACCACCACCATAATACTCAATGAATAATTATGAGTGAATTATAATACCCCCCCCCCCCCCCACACACAGAGTAGTACATACGACCTCCGCCACACGCAGTACGACAGTGCCGAGTCGTACACAAGACTCCTGGATCCCGAGTACAAGTGGACGCACATGTTAGGTGAGTCAGGGAGGCGGTGAGTCACGGAGGCGGTGAGTCTTTTTTTTCTTTCTTCTTATTTTTCTCTTTTCTTTTCTATTTCCGTTTTTTTTCTTTCTCCTCCTCCTCCTCCTCCTCCTCCCCTCCTCCTCCTCTCCTCCTCCTTCTCCTCCTCCTCATCTTCCTCCTTCCCTCCTCTCCTCCTCCTCCTCTTTCTCCTCCACCTCCTTCTCCTCCTCCTCCTCCTCTCCTCTCCTCCTCCTCCTTCTCCTCCTCCTCCTCCTCTTTCTCCTCCTCCTCTTTCTCCTCCTCCTCCTCTTTCTCCTCCTCCTCCCCTCCTCCTCCTTCCCCTCCTCCTCCTCTCCTCTCCTCCTCCTCCTCCTTCCCCTCCTCCTCCTCTTTCTCCTCCTCCTCTTTCTCCTCCTCCTCTTTCTCCTCCTCCTCTTTCTCCTCCTCCTCTTTCTCCTCCTCCTCTTTCTCCTCCTCCTCTTTCTCCTCCTCCTCTTTCTCCTCCTCCTCTTTCTCCTCCTCCTCTTTCTCCTCCTCCTCTTTCTCCTCCTCCTCTTTCTCCTCCTCCTCCTCTTCTCCTCCTCCTCTTTCTCCTCCTCCTCCTCCTCCTTCCCTCCTCCTCCTCCTCCTCCTTCTCCTCCTCCTCCTCTCCTCCTCCTCCTCCCCTCCTCCTCCTCCTCATCCTTCCTCCTCCTCCTCCTCCTCATCCTCCTCCTCCTCCTCCTCCCCTTTCTCCTCCTCCTCCCCTTTCTCCTCCTCCTCCTCCTCCACCTCCTCCCCTCCTCCTCCTCCTCCTCCCCTCCTCCTCCTCTTCTCCTCCTCCTCTTTCTCCTCCTCCTCCTTCTCCTCTCCTCCTCCTCCTCCCCTCCTCCTCCTCTCCTCTCCTCCTCCTCCCCTCCTCCTCCTCCTCTCCTCCTCCTCCTTCCCTCCTCCTCCTTCTCCTCTCCTCCTCCTCCCTCCTATCCTCCTCCTCCTCCTCCGCCTCCTTCCCCTCCTCCTCCTTCTCCTCCTCCTCCTTCTCCTCCTCCTCCTCCTCCTCCTCCTCCTCCTCCTCCTCCTCCTCCTCCTCCTCCTCCTTCCCCTCCTCCTCGTTCTCTCCTCCTCCTTCTCCTCCTCCTCCTCCTCCTCCTCCTCCTCCTCCTCCTCCTCCTCCTCCTCCTTTTCTTTCTCTTTCTCCTTTAATTTTCTTGTTCTTAAATTTTCTTTCTTTTGACTTTCTTTTATATCTTTGTTGTTTTCCATTGTTGATGAGTGTTCCTTCCGTAAATAATTTTTGCAGTTATTATGATTATCCTTATAAACTATCATCGTTATTTGTTTCTGTCATTTGTTATTTGTTAACTACCATCGTTATTTGTTATTTGTTAACTACCCTCGTTATTTGTTATTTGTTATTTGTTAACTATCATCGTCTCGGCTCGCCTATGCTTATATTCACATTCTCTCTTTAACCCTCCCCCCCCTATCACGCCCACAGCCTCGTTCGTGGGCGTGTCGGCCCTGGTGCTCAGCGAGAGTCGCCTGCCGCCCGTGGACTTCCGGGAGGTGAGCGGCAGCCTGTACAAAGGGTGGCATATGTTCGCCCGCGCCCACTCAGCCGCCCTCGCTAATTCTGGATACGACTTCACGGGCGTGCTCGGTAAGGAGAGGGAGAGAGAGATGGAGGTGGAGAGGGAGAGGGAGAGAGAGATGGAGTTGGGGAGGGAGAGGGAGATGGAGGTGGGGAGGGAGAGGGAGAGGGAGAGAGAGATGGAGGTGGAGAGGGAGAGAGAGATGGAGGTGGAGAGGGAGAGAGAGATGGAGGTGGAGAGGGAGAGGGAGAGGGAGAGGGAAAGAGAGATGGAGGTGGAGAGGGAGAGGGAGATGGAGAGAGAGATGGAGGTGGAGAGGGGGGGGAGGGGAGGGTAAGAAGGGGGGGGAAGAGGGGAATAAGGAAGGGAGGAAAGAAGGGGGGGGAGGAGAAAGGAGGGGAGGAAGAGAGAAAAGAAGGGGGGGAAAGGAGGAAGGAAGAGGGAAAAGGAGGGGAAAGTGGAAGAAGAGGGGGAAAGGAGGGAAGGAAAAGGGGAAAGGAGGGGGAGGAAGAGGGGAAAGGAGGGGAGGAAGAAGGAAAAAGGGGAATGGAGGGAAAAGGAAGGGAGGAAGAGGGAAAACGAGAGGAAAGGAAGAGATGAAGAGGAAAAGGGGGGAAAACGAGAAGAAAGGAAGAGATGAAGAGGAAAAAGGGGGAAAATGAGAGGAAAGGAAGAGATGAAGAGGAAAAAGGGGGAAAGGAGGAGAGGAAGTGAGGGAAGGAGGGGGAGGAAGAGGCAAAAGGAAAAAGGAGAGGAGAAAGAGGGAAGAGGAGGGGAGGAAGAGGGAAAAAGAGGGGAAAAGGAGAGGAGATAATGGGCGGGTGAATTTCCACGACGCCCACCCCTCCGCCCTCGCCAATTCCGGATATCATGGGCGCGCTCGGTGAGGAGGGGAATTAAGGAGAAAAGAAGGGGAAAATGAGGGGAAAAGAAGAGGGAAAGAGGGGAGGAAATGGGCGTTGAGATGGGCGGGTAGTTGTAACCGACGCCCACACCAGCTAAGGCTTTCATGAGCGTACAGAGTAAGGAGGGGAAGTGAGGGGAAAAGGAGAGATATAAGAGGGGAAAAGAGGGTTATTTTTCCCCTTAAATAGCATACACTATTTCTTTTATTATTAGTAGTAGTAGTATTGTTATTATTATTATTGTTATTGTTATTATCATTATTGTTATTGTCATTATTATTATTGCTATTGTTATTATTAGTATTAGTATTATTATCATCATCATCATGTTTATCATTATATTTATTATTATTGTTTTAAGTTTAATTCGCCTTAATTAAGTCGATCTAAGTCAAATCAGGTCCTATATTCGCCCTGTTGTTTATATCATCAACTTATATGTATTTCATTTCTCATATGTGTCTCATATCCCATTTATTTATGATATTTTCACAATTCTTCGTCATTTTCTTCTTTGCTTCGTTATTAAGTTATTTTTATGTCACAGTTCTTCGTTATTTCATTTGATTGAATTATTTACTTACGTGTTTGTTAGTACTTTCGTTATTGATTTATATTTTCATTTATATTTACCTACTTTATTCTTCTTTAGTTTCTTTTCATTTCTGTTTTTGTTTATTTATTTTATAATATTATTATATTTATTTTACTTCTGTTTCATTATTATTTTCGAAATGTTTATTTTTGTTGACTTTTTTTTTGTAATTTTTGTTTTTATTTATTTTTATTTTTTCCATTTTATGTTTTAGATATTTGTATTTTTATTTATTTTATTTTATTTTCATATATCCTTTATTTATCTTATCTTATTTTATTTACTTTTATTTTATCTTCACATATTTTACTTTTATAATATTATCGTTTATTATCCTCCCCCCCTCCCCTCCTCCCCCCCTTCCCTCTTTTTTTTTTTTTCCTTCCCGCAGACGCCATCGGAGAGGAAATCGAAATAATGGAGAGCACGATGACGTATCTCACGAATTGGTACGATGACATGCCCATTTTCCGAGGTAAAGGAGATGAGGATGCTGAGGGAGATACGTGCGGCGGCGGAGCATCTTCTTCGCTTCAGGAGTATAGGTGAGGTTGTAGGATGGGTGTGGGTGTGGGTGTGGGGTTGTGTGGGTGTGTGTGTGGGTGTGGGGTTGGAGGGTGTGTGTGGGTGTGGGTGTGGGTGTGGGGTTGTAGGGTGTGTGTGGGTGTGGGGTTGGAGGGTGTGTGTGGGTGTGGGGTTGTAGGGTTGTGTGGGTGTGGGGTTGTAGGGTGTGGGTTGGGTGTGGGGTTGGAGGGTGTGTGTGGGTGTGGGGTTTGGGGTTGTAGGGTGGGTGTGGGTGTGGGTGTGGGGTTGGAGGGTGGGTGTGGGTGTGGGTTGGAGGGTGGGTGTGGGGTTGTGTGTATGTGGGGTTGAGGGTGTGTGTGGGTGTGGGGTTGGAGGGTGTGTGTGGGGTGTGGGTGTGGGGTTGGAGGGTGTGTGTGGGTGTGGGTTGTGTGTGTGGGGGGTTGGAGGGTGGGTGTGGGTGTGGGTGTGGGTTGTAGGTGGGTGTGGGGGTTGGAGGGTGTGTGGGTGTGGGGTTGTGTGTGTGGGGGGTTGGAGGGTGGTGTGGGTGTGGGGTTGTGTGTGGGGGGGGTTGGAGGGGGTTGTGTGGGTGTGGGGTTGGAGGGTGTGGTTGGTGTGGGGTTGTAGGTGGGTGTGAGTGTGGGTGTGGGTTGTAAGTTGGGTGTGGGTGTGTGGGTTGTAGGGTGTGTTGGTGGGTGTGGTTGTAGGGTGTGTGTGAGTGTGGGTGTGGGGTTGGAGGGTGGGTGTGGGTTGGGTGTGGGGTTGGAGGGAGGGTGGGGGGTGGGGTGGAGGGGGGGGGGGGTGGGGGGTTGTAGGGTGGGGTGGGGTGGGGTTGGAGTGTTGTGGTGTGGGGTTGTAGGGTGGGTGTGGGTGTGGGTGTGGGGTTGTAGGGTGTGTGTGGGTGTGGGGTTGGAGGGTGGGTGTGGGTGTGGATGTGGGGTTGTAGGGTGTGTGTGTGGGTGTGGGGTTGTAGGGTGTGGGTGTGGGGTTGGAGGGTGTGGGTTGGGTGGGGAGGGAGGGGGGAATTGAAGGATACCGAGAAAGAGAGAGAGAGAGAGAGAGATTGAGAGAAAGAGAGAGAGAAATAAAGAGAGAGAGAAATAAAGAGAGAGAGACAGAGCTCAGAAGATTTAGAGAACGAAAGAGAGAACTGGAATGAGAGTGAGCCACAGAGAACGTGATAAAGGGAGATAGAGAAGGGAATAAAAATCTAAACAGGATAATAATATAAGGAAAAGGATAATCTAAACCGTCTTCCTATTTCCCTCACCCTTTCTCCCTCTCCCCCTCTCTCCCTCTACCTTCCCTCTCTCCCTTTCCCCCTCTACTTTCCCTCTCTCCGTTTCCCCCTCTCCCCCTCTCTCCCTCTCCCTCCCTCTCCCTCCCTCACTCCCTCTCCCTCTCCCTCTCCCTCACGCTCCCCCCCTCCGTACCCTCTCTCCCCCTACCTCATTCTCCCTCTCCCTCACGCTCTCATCTTCCCTCCCCCTCTCTCCCCCCCCTCACCCTCCCTCCCTCACGCTCTGCCCCCTCCCCCCCGCAGGCAAATCGAGGAGCGGCTGCAGCGCGTGATGTCCGTGAAGCGCGGACTCTTGGGACCGCGTGGCGTGGGTCGCACCTTCACCACCCACCTGATGGTCGGCCCTGATCCCGAAGACCCGTTCGAGGCCAGCCAGTACCCGCACGCCGCCCGCGCCATCACCCTCGCCCTGGCCCAGAAGACGCCCTGGGAGAGCGTGCACCAAGAGCTCTCCTACGTCCTGTCCGCGCTCACCGCCTTCAGGGAGCTGTTTGCGTCCGACGCCGTGCCGGATACGTTCCCGATCCCCTAGGAATGGGGGGGGGAGAGGGGGAGATTTATTTTTGTTGTTTTTTATGAATTTTCCTTTAAAAAGAAAAAATGTTTTATTATTTGTTTTCCTTTTTTTATTATTTGTTTTCTTTTTTTGTTATTATTTGTTTTCTTTTTTTGTTATTATTATTATTATTATTAATTTTCCTTTTTTATTGTTGTTATTATTCGTTTTCATTTTTTTTTATTATTATTAAACATTTTCCTTTTTTATTTTTATTATTCGTTTTCCTTTTTATGTTATTATTATTTGTTTATTTTTTGTTTTTTGTTATTATTCTTTCTTATTATTTTTGATTGGTATCATTATTTTTTATTATTCATT